AAGACTCACAAACAAATCATATAAAATCTGAAACATGTATATCTTTGTGGTACAAAAAAAATAAAGACTACTTTTAATGATCTATTCTTTAATTCTTGCCTTGTGAAATGTAAATATTGTTAATTTTAACATAATTTAAGGTAAATAAAACATTTTTCTATTAATGACACAGCTAGACCAGTTATTTATTAAGGGAGACTCCCTCCTTCTTGAGAAAATTAAAGGTTCTCATTTCGATTTATGATATTCGAGTGACTATAAAGTTAACTGAGTTCTATCAATAATAAGATTATTTTTAATAAGTACAGTTTACATCTAAAGAAACTACATTAAAAGTTATATAAAGCCACAAAAAACTCAAATGTGATAAAAGTCGGATATATAAAGTGAAAGATTAAGAATAATTAGTTGAAGATATTTTTTTATGTCAGATGAATACTAGATATGAACCCTCTGGAATGAAGGTAGTACAGTTGAAGATATTTTTTTCTTAAATAATTTCTAACAAAATTTATAGAGGAAAATAGCAATGATGTAGTGGGTAGTACTTAATTATAATTAGTTGTATTACAAACTTCTCAATATTTATAATGAATAAATTAAGAACACAATTTTTAATTAATAAATCTAAGAATATAAAATACAAATTAATAGCAATAATAATTTTATTTTTATAAATTGGTGCCCCACATGATAGTGGTGCCCTAGGCATATGCCTAGGTGCCTCCCCACTATAGCCGGCACTAGCTCCTCCTGCTGTGAGCGTCGTGAGGAGAGGTCTTGAGAGTTAGCCGCGTTGTTAGTGTTCATTTTACTTGCCTTGCGGTTGTCTTAGAGTTTTTTAATGGAGAGGTTGATTAGAAGAACTTTTTGATCAGTTTCCCACAGACGGCGCCAGTGTTGAGGTTTATTCCCCTCAACCCGCAAGCCCAACACGTAACCTGGGGGTTTCGAATGGGTGGAAAGCAAAACAAGATCACTAGACAACGGGGAATGAGCTAATAACTGTATTTCATTCACTCTAGCGATTACAAACCGAGGGGCCGAACGTACTAAGCTATGCTACGTGCTGTTGATGCTATTACAATACTAGAGCATCAAAGTGTGAACCCCTTTCGAATGAAATAAATGCGACTATTTACAGTATCCCATGGTGGTTGGGGGGCTGACGTGAAGTGGCATCCTGGGCCCTTGGGTGGTAACCCACAAGACGCACGTCCCCTGGCCCTTGAGCCCGGAAGCTTGGTCATGCTGGGCTACGTACGTCCCCTGACCCTTGAGCCCGGAAGCTTGGTCATGCTGGGCTACGTGCGTCCCCTGACCCTTGAGCCGTGCAGCTTGATCATGCTGGGCTACGTGCGTCCCCTAGCCCTTGAGCCCGGAAGCTTGGTCTCGATGGGCTACGTACGTCCCCTGGCCCTTGAGCCCGGAAGCTTGGTCATGCTGGGATACGTACGTCCCCTAGCCCTTGAGCCCCTGGAGCTTGATCATGTTGGGCTACGTGCGTCCCCTGGCCCTTGAGCCCAGAAGCTTGGTCATGCTGGGCTACGTGCGTCCCCTGGAGTTGATGGGTCGGCCCTGGTAGGGCCATTAACCCAACAACAATAATATAATAATTAGTCAAGATGGAGAAGATTAGTAGAGAATATAGAGTAGGAATATTTGGAGAAGATGTGTAGTAAAATGTATAGAAAAAATGGAGTATTTATAGATTTTTTGTATTTTTTTTTAAAAAAAAACTAGCCATGAGGCCTGGACCGGGTCTGAACCGGCCGAACCGCCCTACCCGATCGGGCCGGTTCAAAGCCCGAACCACCCACCCAATACCCGGGCCGGGCCGGACCTGCACAGTAGCGGGTCGGGCTGGTTCCGGGTCGGGCTGAACCGGTTGGGTCCATCCCTAGCTATCCTAGGAAATGCTTTTAAGGGAGGTTAGAAGCAGCTATTGAATCAAGCAAGGCTATGGCAAATGATAAATAATGGCTTTTCTTTTCTTGGTTGGAATGATTTGTATCAAGATGTAAGCAGTTGAGGCGCTTGATTTTTAACAGACGTGCACCATCATTTGCCCCAAAGTTCAGAAAACACTTGGTCCAAAAGGTGGAATCTCCCACCCCAGGAGTCCCCCATATTCCGACCCAGGATTTTTGGGAGGATGTTAATCACGGTGACTCAGTCGGTCCAATGATGATAGGCCTTTTTCCCGTGCGCACCAGAGGCTCAGCCTTATTTCAGGTTTTGTGACCTCCACACAGCCGCTGCGGGTTTCAAACCTTGGTCACTTGGTCCAAATTTCCCACCACTGAACCAACTGAGCTACCCGTGCGGGTAAGTTCAGAAAACACGATGAGGTTTTTTGGATCAGAAAGTGATCTTCAGTGTCAACATTTAGTTCTGACAGACACTTCAGCATCACACCACCCAAGAAAGAAAGCATGGTGAATGCTCTTACATCTCCTTCGCATGCTTCCTCACTTCCACCGCACAAAACCTCTATTCTCACCTTCGACCGCCACACCCGTTTCGTCGCCGCCACCATTCTAAACCAGTGGCTACGCAAATCAGTCGGCGACGGTTGGCAATGGACAACGGGGACTATGCACATCCGGCGGTCACGACTTTGAGCGCTGGGATAGAACTGGCGCCGATTCGGTGGCTAATTTTCTGTCAATTTTGGCGGCTAATCTGGCGTTGATTTTGGTGGCTAACCTGGTATCGATTTTGATGGCTAACCTGGTATCGATTTTGGTGGCTAACCTGGTTTCAACTTGTGGGTTGTGAAACAATGCCGGTGGAGCTGCAATGGGATGTTGCAGGGGGCTGCAAACTTGGGCGTGGTTAGTGTGGGTTGAGGAATGAGGATAGGGGCTGTGTGGAAGGACTGGGCAGGGGCTACAGGGAAGTGATATAAGTGATATAGGGTATTGGGGCCACTTGGGGCAGGGGGATGGTGTAACTGTGCAAGGCAGGGGTTTTGGGGTTGGGGGAGGGTAGGATGCGATTGAGGGAAGGTGGATGGCGGTGGCGAACTAGTGGTGGCCTGGGTTACTCTGCCTAGGGATGGACCGGTTCCGGGCCGGGCCAGGTATCGGGTCGGCCCTGACCGGGCTTTTTTGGGGAGAATTGAGACCCGCAACCGGCCCAGGAGCCAGTGGTTCCGAGCCGGGGCCGAGCCGGTCCGATTCAATGTTATTTTTTTTCTTTTGCTTTTCTAATTAACCCCCGACCCCCCCCCCCCCCCCTTCAACCCCAACCCCCAAACCCCCCCAAAACACCTAGCCCTACCCGGGAAAAACAAATAAAAAAAAGGCCCGAACCGGGTCCGGCCTGGCCGGGCCGGTTCACTATATTTAAGGCCCGTACCTGGCCCGCCCCAATCCCCAGACTGGGCCTAGGCTCGGAACCGTTACCCAAGACTGGGTTGATCCGGGCCCGCACAATAACGGGCCGGGCTGGTTCACGGGCCGAGAGGCCCAAGCCCGGTCCAACCCTAACTCTGCTCAGGTCACGAGGATTCTGAAAAAAATCCTCAAAAAAAAATTCGGCACCATAATGACTATTTCGCAGCGATAGTGACCTTAAAGTGACACGAAATCTTGTAGCGACATTCAAAAGTGGCATAAAAATATGATAGTGACATAAAAGTGACATAAAAATCTGGTTGTGAAATAAAGATACAATGATATCATGTCATTCCAAATATATGGCCTTCTTAGTCACATTTTCATCATTTAGTAAAAATGGTCACATTTTTTAAAATTAGCATTAATTTGGTAATATTAAAGGAAAAAGCCCTATTTACTACAATGTAATGTCATGACTCATGATATCTTAATTTAAAAATCAAACATAAGTTACTATGATTTTATTACTATTCTAGTTACTAGTCATATTTTTGCAAACATCTTTATTTTATTACTTATATCAATGCTTCAGTATTTAACGTTGATGTCATAGAAATCTTTAACCCGGTGTGAATTGAGAGTGAAGGTGGAAGAGTGAAGGTGGAACTTGGAAGACTGAGAAAGTGTCAATTTGCAATCAAAAGAACATTTGTAATTAGGGATGGACTCCAATGGGACCAAGTCGGGCCTCGAGAGGGACTGGGCGGGCTTCGAGCTTAACGATTTCAGGCTTGGTAGTTGGTACCAGCCTAAATTTGTACTGATACCGAGTCAAGCCGAGCCCAAACAGTACTGGGTCAGACCGGGCTTCAGGAAGGACTAGGCATTCAATTAAAAAAATAATGCAGCCGGACTCAAACCAGACCCAACCCAAAGCCTGCCCCTTATAGCCATCAGGTCAGGCCGAGCCGAGTCGAGCCTAAACAGCACCTGGCTCGGGTCGGACCCAGGTCAAGCCGACCTGTCCCAATCTAAAATGTTAAATATGAACTCCGTCTATATGAGAACAGTATTTAGACTCCTAGTCTCCTACTCTCGGACATCCCAACACCACCATTCCACCAATAAAATACAATCACCATATTTTTTTACCTATCAATTTAGTAAAAAATAATTAAATTATTATAAGTAATGTTTTCCATTTTATTTTTTCTCTAAATAATTATGAAATGCAAAATACACATTTCATTGTACAAAATAAATTTTATTAAAAAATTGCTACTTTTATTTTTTATTTTTTTCAGTTTTAATAATAAATAACATAATTTCATGTAATACTCAATTATTTATGGAGGCTACAATGTAGCCGCTACATGCATTAAAAATTTGTGTTTCATATTTTCTTGGTGTTATATGAAAGATCGTAAAAATTTATGAATTTTGACATATTTATTGAAAAATTGTAGAAAAAAAATATAAAAGTTATACCAGTTTCAAAAAAAATTGAGGTATTATGACGCAAGGATGACGTCAACATGTCATCATCCGAACCAAGAGCAAACCTGCATCCGTCCCTTTCTTTTCTTTTTTCTTTCTTTTTTCCGTGCATAAGTGCATTCTTCATTCAAAACTAATGGGAGAATGTATCATTTTATAGTCGAGATTATTTTCACTGCATCACTAAAAATTGTGCCCAAATGGGTGCAAGCGTCAAATGGACCTCCCCAAGTAAAACAAGTTATCTACTTGCAATACAAAACAAGAAAACAAGGCTACAAAGAATACACTCACTGTACATTGAATATGTACATGGGATACAACGTCCTTTTCTCATTGGTGTGAAGAAGAAATCACGGTTACACCATCATACGGGTAGAATTATACAGCAATGCTTTTCAACTAACACACACACATATACATATACATATACGGAAAAAAGTCAAACTGTAGTTTACAAACCTCGAAGAAGTCGAGCTATTTTTCAAGTATTGAGGACACATCCTGTTTCTGCCATAAACCTATATATGAATCTGCAAGTACAACAGAAGATATACAACCTTATATGAGGTAATAATACTACAAAACAACAACAACATCATCATCAAAGCCTTAGTCCCAAAAGATATTGGGGTCGGCTAACATGAATCGATACATGATATCACAACCAAAAGGAAAAGAAAGAATATAAAGATAAAAAAGATAAGTTATTATAAAAAGATAATATAAAAAGAGATGAATATACATAAAAATGATAAAATAAAAGGGCTACAAATAATGCTTATATATATAAGGATAAAAAACAAGGAAAAAAAAGATTGGGGAAAAAGATGATACGAGATCACTCCTTCACGCAAATACCCGCCCTCCACTTAGTTATCTCCAAAGTCATGCTCTCGTCCAACCCCAGAAGAAGCATATCACTTCGAACTCCCCTAACTCACGTCTGTTTAGGTATTCCTCTTCCTCTTCTTTGCCTCTTCTCCACACATCTCAACTCGTCTGACAGGTGCATCACCCGGTCTTCTACGCACATGACCAAGCCACCGTAAGCGCGACTCCCACATCTTGTCTTCGATAGGTGATACTCCCACCCTTTGTCTGATTGTCTCATTCCTCACGCGGTCCTTCCTAGTATGCCCACACATCCAACGCAGCATGCGCATCTCTGCCACACTCATCTTTTGAATGTGACATTGTTTCACCGCTCAACACTCTACGCCTTAGAGTAATGCAGGCTTAATTGTTGTCCTATAAAATTTACCCTTTAGTCGCATAGAAATCCTGACGCACTCTTCCACTTCATCCACCATGTTCTGATTCTATGGGATACATCTCCATCTAACTCACCGTCCTTCTGAATTATGGAGCCCAGGTAACAAAACATATCGCTGACTGGTATCTCCTTACCATCCAGAGTAATTCCGCTATTAGCACTGCTTCCACCTCCACCAAACTTGCACTCCATGTACTCTGTCTTGCTCCGACTTAGTTTGAAACCCTTATTCTCCAATGTTTGTCGCCATACTTCCAACTTTGCTTTAAGACCTGATTGCGTCTCATCAATCAATACAATATCGTCGGCAAACATCATGCACCACGGTATATCGTCTTGAATTGACTTCGTAAGTTCATCCATGACTAAGGTAATAATAATACAAAGTGGCAAAAAAATAAGACAGTACAGGAAAAAGGATTTTTACATTTACAAAATTTACATGATTTAGGCACTCAGCAACCCGCATTTGTATTCATTGTGCTTCCCAAAAGTTCAGAAATGGAGAAAGCTCCCATAGTCACTAGCTAGAAGGAGGAGTTGGCTGATCATCTTTACAACCTTTACTGAGCAAATCATAGTTGATTGATGCAAGCTGGGAGAGATTCTGGCAGAAAGAGTACAAATTTCAGAAGAGCAAATTATGCAATGGTAAAAACAGTGCCAATGCTTCAGTACATTATTTTGGGAGTCTCCCAACTACATTCCACGAATTTTCAAGGACAGGAGATAAAAACAAAAAATAGGCCCCAACCAAAGAGTTTTCACCACTTCTAGTCCTATGGGTATTGTGTCGGTGATACTTTTGATACTCGACTTTGAGTTTTTCTACTTTTATGTTTAGCCTTTCGAATATTGTGAGAAAATTTTGATCAACTTTGGATCTTTTCACATTTTTAGTCTTTTAGAAATAAGGCTTGAATGTTGTTGTTGTTGTTGTCATTTGACTACTGTAAGTGTTATTTTTAGTCCTTCAATTGTTATCATGAGGACCTCAACTTATTGTGGCAAAAGCAGTCGAAGAAATAATAACGGAAGGACCGAAGGTCTCACTTTTACAATAGCCTTATAGCCACAGCACTAAATGTGGAAAAAATCACAATCGAGGACGAAAAGAGTTTCTCCAACAGTAGTTGAAAAGAATGAAATTGAAAAAATTCAAAGTCGAGTACCAAAATTGTCGCCGACACAATATTCCTTAACATATTCACAGGACTAAAAGTGGCAAAACTCACAACCAAACGTATCCATTTGGATTGTGGCCTTTAATATGTCATTCCTCGCCTAAAAAATCAATGTAGGCTGTTTAGGCATTCATACTTGAACTGAATTTTTTTTAATAAGAATACACACACACACACACACACACACACACATATATATATATATATATATATATATATGTATCTTATATACCCACACAGAAAACACACACACATATGGTCAGTCAGAGTTATGTGGGGCTGAAGTAGGGAAAAATGAAACCGTCAAGATTGACCTAGCACCTAGATGAGGCCTAGATGGAGGAGCAAGGTGGGGTTATTTAGAACAAACAGAACAGTGCTTTTGATGAATTTCTAAATAATAAAAGAATTGTATATATATAAATAAACCTCAAAACGTACTAAGCGCCTAAGCAGCATAAAAGTAATTCATTTATTTAAGCAGAAACCCTAAAGATCAACTAGGCAGTTTAAGCACTCAGCGAGAGAGTGGTGGTCTTCCGCCATACACACGCATAAAATAATTCAGCTATCATTTGATTAGTCCAATGTATATCAGAGACTTAGCAAGGAAATAACATACAATCGAATTTTGTTGGAGCCTCAAGTGTGCCTTCATTGACAATAAATATGCTTTGAAAGTGATTATGCAATTGAAAGCACTGATATACAAAAATCACCTTGAATGAGAAGTTACTAAAAGAATAGTTTGCAGAGGAACCCGAATCGAAATCAGCAAGACCCCCACATTCATCAACCTGTTTACTCTTCCAAGCAAACATAAGATATTATTCAAGAAATATATATAATTTAAAGAGTGCCCTCACAAATTCAATAAAACCACAACTATAATAATATACCAGCTCATCATGCCGATTACTTAGGCAACTGCTGCTGTCACTTAAACTAGCATCATCACTTAAATCTTCAAATTCACTGGCTGCATAAACATTCTCATGTGATGGATTCCATGCAAAGCGACTGGTGAAGTAACTTGTATCTAGTGCACTCTCAGAAGCGGGAACAAAAGCCGCCTGTGAAATATACAGTCATTTATCGATAGGGGGAAATGTGAAAGATAGCAAGTAGAATGTGACTCAATGTTAAGTTTAGGGTTAAATAGTTTCATTCGGATAAATATATGGAATGTAGTAGGGAGAATATTCCAGATTGAATTGCGCTTGAGTATTTCAATTGATAAACACCCTATTTATACAATTAAGTGTCTTCTATGCGCCCCCACAAGCCAGGTATTTGATCACCCTCAAGAATCCTGAGCTTGTTTTTCATAAGAGCAAAGGCAGAAGCGGTTTGGTGAGAGTATCAGCCAGTTGATGGTGAGATGAGATGTGATGAACCCCAAGAAGCCCATGTTGTACACATTGACGAACAAAGCGGAAGTCAATAGCAATATGTTTCATTCTTGAATAGAAGACAGGATTTGCAGAACACGTAGTAGCACCATTGTTATCACAAAAAGGAACTGGGGAAGAAGTCGGCAAATGTCGCAGCTCATGAAGAAGGGATTGTATCCAAAGAATTTCAGATGCAGTAGTATGAAAACACATGGTTTAGAGCGAGGTTCCAACTTATGGGTTGTATAGGGACGCAACCAAAGAAAGCATTGACATCCGAAAATAGCCAGTTTTCTGTAATGGGGTGGCTGTTGAAAGAGTTTCTCGTATGGGTGCTAAAATTAAGAGTCATTGCAGGTTGTCTATTAATAAGACCAATATATAAGAGACATAGAAGCGTGGTGATGTAAGGTAATTCCGGTTTCCACAATGTGATGATGTCGTCATTCAACAAATCCATTATGTTTCGGAGTGTAGGGGGAGTAAGTGAGAAATACCACATGAACCTGAGTATTTCTCTAGAGTAATATATTCACCACCCCCATCAGAATAAACCAATTCAATTTTTCTTTGGAAAAAGTTTTCCACAACCTTTTCAAATTGTTGAAAAACTGTAAATACCTCAGATTTGCGGGTGATGATGTAAAACCAAATATATTTAGTAAAGTGATCTACAAAGATAATAGAGTATCGGAAACCATCACTAGAAGTAACACCAGAAGGTCCCCACACATCAGTATAGATTAAGTCAAGAGAGTCAGAACTTGAAAGTGGAGATTTAGCGAAAGGTAATTTATGACTTTTATTACTTGCACACGAGATGCATAAGGAAGTGTCTTTGATAGTATCCTGAAATGAAATTCCTAGAGAAGAGAGAAATTTTCTAGTAATAGGGAGAGCGGGATGACCTAAGCGACAATGCCAATCATTAAGAGATTTTTTTACGTTAGCAAAAATGGTTTTGGTGGGGTCGGTACTCAGTACATCATGCAAGCCGTAGACATCGCCATTATTCATACTCCATAACAAAATTGATCTTGTTCGCCGGTCCTTGAAAAGACAAAAAGAAGGGGGAAATTAAATTGGTATGAACAAAAGGAACATAAAGAGTATTAGGGAGAGAGAGTGAAGTGACATACGTCCAACTTGTGCTATCGCAAGACCTTTACCGTTACCAATAATGAGAGAATATGTGCCAGTATAATCCGAAACCAAAATTAGACTATTCAGGTTATTGGTGACGCGATTAGTTGCTCCAAAATCAAGTAACCACCCGTTCCGGTTGGTTGTGGCAGTATTGACTTGGGGGAATAAGTCTGTTCTTCAAACCGATGCCAACAATTGAGAGAAAGATGGTTTGATTTGCCACAAATTTGGCATTCAATAATAAGTCCAGAATTTTTATTAGCCTCCCCTGAAGTTGTTCCGGCCCACCGTGTTGGTGTTATTACCTCCACGATTGTTACGTCAATTTGGATTGGATTGCTGGTTCTGGGTCTGAATCCTGTTTTGGTTCCGGGTAGGATGATTTATCCGAGTAGGCTGACTTTGGAAATGGGCTGTTGGGCCACGGCCAAATATTGACAGAGGGCTTTGTGTTTGATATACGGACGACGGTTGTCCTTTTCTACTTTGAGCTGCAAGTACAATAGATTCACCAAAGGCCTTGTCGCTTGTCGCAACCGAGCTCAGCATGACCACAGTAGGATTATTTAGATTTTTTTCTACCGGAGATTGTTGTTGTTGGTCGTCATAGGGATGGCTGGTTAGAGCTCAAGGACTCTGATACCATAAGAATTTAATTAATGGGGAGAATATTTCAGATTGAATTGTTTGAGTATTTCAATTTATAAACACCCTATTTATACAATTTGGAAGCAGTCCTATAAGGTAAGATATTTATTCTATATAATAATTACAGATATTCTGTCTTAATGATAATATATAGCAACGGTTGTAAGTTGTAACTGATGAGAATTAAGTGGCTTCTATAAAATACAGCTCTTTTTGTTTTTTGTGTTCGTTACTTATTCATCCTTGTAAGTTGTAATCGATATCCATTTTCTTTTTAGTCCCTCCCAGTCAATCTTCATTCAGACAAATCAGGTGTGGCTCACAAAACTCTGTTCTTGAAGGTTTCCATGTCATCTAGGTTGACAAGAGTGGGACTAAATGGAAAACCAACCACGTAAATTACACGGATGAATAACAAAAACATAAATTCAAAAGGATCAAATACAAAGAAAAAAGCTACTCCCTCCATATTTTAAAGATTGCTACATTAGCTTAGGCACATTATTTAAGAAGAAAAGTTGTAGGGGTAATGAATAGTGTAGAAAAAGTAGGAGAGATGGTGTAAAAGTATGAAAAAGAAGATAAAAAGTAGAAAAAGTAAGAGTAATTGAGTATTTGTTGAGGGAAAACTTTCCAAAAAGGGAAATGTAGCAAACTTTAAAATACATCCCAGAAAGGAAAGTGTTTAAACTTTAAAATACGGAGGGAGTATATGAAGAAAGCACATTTGTTCCATAAGTTTAACATATATGCAAATAGAACCTTCTGTCTCGCTAGTGTGTCCCAGTTAATATTCCTGAAAAAAGGATGCTCCTTGACCTACAACCAAAATCACAGGTTACTGTCTAATTTGATCTCGTCATTTTTCCTTGGAAAAGAGAAATAAAAACTAACAGCAATGCTACAGAAGACAGCGGTTATCACCTCTGTTGCTCCATTAGCTCCGAGACGTTGATTAGGATCTTCTGTCAGCAAGCTGCATGAAAACAAAGTCATGGCACTGAACATACTACTTCATACATCTTCTTTTAAGGTTCCGTTTGGATGTCAGAATATGATTGGAAAGGGTTAAAAACTCAAGAAGTTATTTACTTTTTTACCTTAGGAAATGCAAAGAACAATTAAAAAATATTAACAGTTTTTCAAAAGTACACATAAATTTAGATTTTTTTAGTATTTATTTAGGGGTCTTTTAAAGACTGATGACACACACATGATAAAAAGTTAAAAACTACTCCCTCCATCCCATAAAACTCTTCCTGGATTGACTTGGATCGGAGTTTAAGAATGTAGGAATAAAGTGGAAATGTATGGTTGTGGTTGAGTAAGAAAAAGGTATATGAATGTTAGCCACACTAAACTTTCCAAAAAGGGAAATGGGAAGAATTTTTTGGGACATCCCAAAAAGGTAAGTTTGTCCGTCATTTGCGATGAAGCCAAAGACTCGCTATTTTTTGGCTTGGGAATATAATGGAATAAAGCAAAATAGTTCTTTATACTGTCTGTGTTTCTTTGTTATGAAGCAGCAGTCGGTCCATGCAACTTTTGACGTGATTTTCAATATGACCCCTTTATCCCACCGTAGGTGGGAGCTTTTATGACTCAGGTAATGATGAATGATGATGATCCCAAAAAGGTAAGTGGAAGAATTTTATGGGACAGAGGAAGTAGTTAAAGTTCATTGTAGAAAGAACTCGAGAAAGTAGAATGTATAATGTTTATTTGTTCTGATTTTTACAATGAGAAGAATACAGAATATATATAGCTAGAGAAAAGTGAAATAATGAAGGAATCCTCCTAATTAAGGTTCCCTAATAAAGAAAAGATATTTGGGGATATTTAGAGATTCTGAGATCTCTAAGATATCTTCTCATAAATGCTCAATCGGGTGAGTAATTAAAACTATCTGTAATAATCTACACTCCCCCTCAACCTGGATGATGGATATCATCCATGTACACTCCCCCTCAAGCTGGGTAATGGATATCATCCATGCACAGCTTGCTAGATAACTCTTCAAACTGAATTCTGGGAAGTGCCTTGGTTAGTATATCAACTATTTGCTGCCTGGTTGGAGCATTGCTTAGCTGGATAAGAATCTTCTATCTATCTCAATATGTTTGGTCATGTCACGATGGACAGGATTCTTAGCAATACTGATAGTAGACTGGTTGTCACATGAGATTTGGATGGAGCTTTCAAATGGAAGTTTGAGCTCATTCATCAATCTTCTTAACCATAATCCTTCACAGATTCCTTGTGGTAAAGCCCCGAGCTCAGACTCTGCACTACTTCTCGATACTTCTCGAAACCACTCACTGTTTTTTGCTCCTCCAGGTGACTAAGTTACCCCATACACAAGTACAATAACCAGTAGTTGACCTTCTGTCTAAGAGGCTTCCAGCTCAGTCAGCATCAGTGAACACTTCAATCTTCTTTACCCCTTGTTTCTCAAACAATAACCCTTTTTCATGAGTCATTTTCAGGTACCTCAGAATTCTATAGACTGCAGTTAGGTGTTCCTCAGTTGGGTCATTCATGAATTGACTTACCACACTGAGAAAGCAATGTCTGGCCGTGTGTGAGATAGGTAGATTAGCTTCCCTACCAGCCTTTGATATCTACCCTTACCAATTGGTGGACTTTCAGTCTCACTGCCTAACTTCTTTGATATATCCATAGGAGTGTCCATAGGCTTGCACCCAAGCATTACAGTTTCACTTAGCAAGTCTAGGACATATTTCCTTTGTGAAATGAAAATGCCTTTCTTAGATCTTGCCACTACCATTCCCAGGAAGTACTTCAACTCGCCTAGCTCCTTGATCTCAAACTCTCTAGTTAGATGAGCCTTCAATCTATCCTATTCAGCCTTATAATCCCCAGAATAGCTATTTTACCGGAGTCTGCCCTCTTTACAAATAGTGTATGGTCTGTCTGACATTGCATGAACCCTTGTTTAATAATTGATCTTGTGAACCTATCAAACCATGCTCTAGGAGACTGCTTTAGTCCATACAAGGACTTTTTCAGTCTGCAACCCTGGCCAGATTTCACCAAGTCTTCTAACCCTGGTGGTACATCCATGAATACTTCCTCTTCTAGGTCTCCATTAAGAAAGGCGTTCTTAACATCTAGTTGATGTAATGGCCAGGCTAGGTTCACTGCGAGTGATAACAATACTCTAATGGTGTTCAACTTTGCCAATAGTGCAAATGTCTCTGAATAATCAATGCCATAAGCTTGGGTGAACCCCTTAGCAACCAGCCTTGTCTTCAGCATTTCAATCTTTCCATCAGCCTGATATTTAACTGTAAATACCCACTTGCAGCCAACATTCTCTTCCCTACTGGCAGATCTGTAAGCACCCAAATTTTCATTCTTCTTTAATGCTGCTAAATCATCATGGACATCTTTCCTCCACCCTGGATGTTCAAGGGCTTCCTTGATGTTGTTAGGAACCTGAATACTATCAATCTTTGAAATAAAAGCTTGATAGTTTGGTGATAGTTTCTTATAACAAACAAAATTATAGATAGGATGTTTGGTACACTCCTTTACTCCTTTTCTGATAGCAATAGGCAAGTCTTGTTCCTCCTCATCTCCTTCTATAGCCTCAACCTCTTTGTCATCAGGATTCAAATTTGAGTTAGGTGATTGGGTGGTGTTAATTGGAGTGATGTGCTCTTCTTCTGGAACTCTGGTTCTAGGTTTCCGCTTATAGATATTGTTGTAGAATGGGGAATTTTGATTTAGTGTAGGCATTTGGGGTGATGAAGTTGATGGCTGAAATGGTGAGGTTGATGGAGGGACTGTATTGTCTGGAGGCTTGATTCAGATCTGTCTAGGAGTATAGGTTCAGTGTGGTTAGATTCAGAATCTTGGAGGTCGTCTAGAATAGTGTCTCAAATAGAGTTCAAAGACTGGATTTCATTGTGATTCTCCCCCTGAAATTCAGTTTTGGAATAGAAAGGCTGATTTTCTAAAAAGGTTACATCCATTGTGATGTAGACCTTTTTTGTGGTAGCAGAATAACATTTATATCCTTTCTGGTTGGCTGCATATCCTATGAATATACAAGATAAGGATTTGGGATCCAGTTTTGACCTAAGTGGAGAATGGTTGTGAATAAATGCTTTGCAATCAAAGACCTTTGGTGGAAGATTGGTAAGAGGGGTGTGAGGATGTAGATAAGATAGGATTTGGTATGGGGTTTTGAATTGGTGCATTTTGGAGGGCATCCTATTTACCAGATAAGCTGCGGTTAGGACGACCTCTCCCCAGTAGTGTTTAGGAGTGTAAGTGGTGAACATAAGGGCTCTTGCAACTTCCGGTAAGTGTTTTTCTTCCTTCTACCACCCCATTCTGTTGTGGGGTGTCAACACAGGAGCTAATGTGTATAATTCACTTTTTGGACAGAAACTCGAATCTTGAATCTACTTTTTGGATGAGAAATATTCTTTGGCATTATCAGTTTTAAAAACTTGAATCTTGGTTTGAAACTGAGTTTTGATCATAGAATAGAATCTTTGAAAGATAATATTGACTTCTGACTTCTCTTTCATGAGGAAGACCCAAGTTAGGCGTGTATGATCATCAATAAACAGAACAAACCACCTTGAACCAATGAGATTTTTGACCTTGGATGGGCCCCAAACATCAATGTGGATGAGAGAAAATGGTTTAGATGGTTTGTAAGGTAGACTGGGAGAGTGACTTCTAGTATGTTTAGCAAGTTGACAAAATTCACAACTTTTATTTATGAATAATGAAGGAAATATTTTTTCAAAGTACAAGACATTAGAATGACCAAGACGATAATGCCATAACTGAATTTGAGCATCAAATTGACTCCTAGTAAGACTCTCTAAGAACTTATGGTTGAATTGACTCTCACTAGAAGTTGTCTGGTTGGTGGAGTTTGGTGAATGTGGTGAATGTTCCAAAAGATAGAGTACACCACTTTGCTTAGCATTGCCAATCATTCTCCCCGAATCCAAATCCTGAAATTCACACAATTGAGAACAGAATTTAGTTAGGCAATGTGTATCATTGTCCAGTTTACTGAGTCATAAGAGGTTAAACTTTAAATCCGGAACATATAACACATTGTTAAGCACTATCTTGTCAGAAATTTTGACTCTTCCAGTCCCTTTTATTGCTGAAGTAGTTCCATCAGCAATCTTCACAGTTACCTTATTCTTCATAGGAATCAATTCAGCAAAAAAACGTACTATCTCCAGTCATATGATTGGATGCCCCTGAATCAACAATCCAATAGGGTTGACTGTGTGCAACTAGGGTTGTTAAGGCATTACCTGTCTTAGCAGTAAGGCATGGTTTACCATGCAAATTCCAGCATGTTTCTTTGGTATGGCATGGTTTCTTACAGTGATCACACCATGGCCTCCCCTTTTTCTTGTTTTAATTCTGTCTGGAAGAGGTATATAAGGCTGACCCTGACCCTTCAATGTTTTGTTGTTGGCCTTGAGATTTTAGACCCATCATTACCTTCATTCTGCTTTCTTCTCTTCTGATTTCTGAGAAGGCTTCTCTTAGTGTGAGTTTCTTTCCCATTATTCTGTCCCTAACCTCATCTAGACTCTTGTCCAAACCTGACAGGAATTTGAAGACTCTCTTCCTCACACAGATCCCCTGATAGAACTTCTTATCCTTAGAGCATGACCAACTGTATGTCTCAAACACGTCAAGATGCTGCCAGAGTCTCACAAGGTTGTTGAAGTATTGAGTTACACTCAATTCTCCCTGCTGAAGGTTATGTAGCATTGATTCAACCTCAAATAATTCAGAAGTGTTATCTGAAGTTGAGTATGTTTCTTTCACAACCTCCCAAATCTCTTGAGTTGTTTTGTATAGTAGGAAGTTTTCCCCAATACTGGTTGTCATGGAATTGATGAGGCATGACATCACAGTATAGTTCTCCTTTTTCCACTTCTTATAGCCTGGATCTCCTTGATCCGGAGCAGGTGCATTACCTGTCAAATAGTCCTCCTTGTCTTTTCCACACACATACATCATAACTGACCGGGACCATTGTAGATAATTACTACCATTGAGTTTATGGCAAGTAATAATCGAATCAGATTGATTAGGAGTGGTGATTGTGCTTCCATTGATATTCTGGTTGCTGCCATCTCCTGTTGGGACAGCCTCTGAAGGTTCAGAGGTGACTGAGATAGATCCATCTCTCTCAATGGTCATCCCATAGGATCCGAAATTAATCATTTTAGAGAATAACCACGCTCTGATACCATGTAGAAAGAACTCGAGAAAGTAGAATGTATAATGTTTATTTGTTCTGATTTTTACAATGAGAAGAATACAGAATATATATAGCTAGAGAAAAGTGAAATAATGAAGGAATCCTCCTAATTAAGGTTCCCTAGTAAAGTAAGGATAATTGGGGATATTTAGAGATTATGAGATCTCTATGATATCTTCTCATAAATGCTCAATCGAGTGAGTAATTAGAACTATCTGTAATAATCTAAATTCATAAATTGTGCTTGACAACAATATTGATTAATGTACAACTATTAGTGATATGGAATCTTTTTATCACATAAATTGTTTCCTTGCACTTGTCAAATTCTTCCTGGCTCTTTAAAATGAATCCCATTAATTGCTTCTAATCATGCACCCATAATCCCATAGATACACCCCTTAAATCATAGAAATAAAAATGAGTTTGAACAAACATTTAAAATAAATTTATTCAGTCTAAGTCTACTCTTAATTCCATCATTTGCAATGGAGCCAAAGACTTACTATTTTTTGGCTTGGGAATATGATGGAATAAAGCAAATTGGCTAATTATACTGTTTGCTCTTCTTTTTTATGAAGCAGTAGTCAATCCATGCAATTCTCGACGCGATTTTCACAATGGGTCATCTGGAAACAGTCTCTCTGTGCTTTAGTGCAGGGGTAAGACTGTGTACATCCGACCTCCCTTACCCCACCGTAGGTGGAAGCCTTTGCGGCACTGAGGTAATGATAATGATGAGTCTGAGTCTACTATTCTAATTTTTCTCAACTTCTGTGCAACTTTTCATTCTATTTTCCTACCTACTTTCTTTTTGTAATGCTTACGAAGCTCTGTTTGGGTTGAAGTTCACCTTGCCCGTGGTAAATTGTAAAAGAAATCTAAGTTACTGAAAATAGATTTACCTAAGTGAGTATCTTAAGATAATAAGCTATACCAAAACTTATTTGGGTTATAATGAATTAAAATACTCTGATGTTTTAAAAGTCACTCACCCCATTTACCCCAATTTTGGGGTAATGAAAACGAAGTGAATCTAGGTGAATGATTCACTTTACCTAACTTACATAAATAATACATATGAATTCCCAAATGGAGTGAATCAAACTATTTACTTACTCTCTCCGTCCCTTATAACTTTGCCAAAGTTGACTGACACGTAGAATAATTAAGTAAAATATGTGCGGTTTAGGTTTGATCATAGGACTCAAGATATCGAAAAAGTTAAAGGTGTGAAGGATGTCGATCAAAGGGTGTTAGTAGAGGACAGAGAAATAAAAGAGAGGTGGAGGTCATACTTTGGTACCTTGTTCAACGGAAATAAAGTGCAAGGTACTGACGATCTTACTATACCAGATTGTATGGTAGATCGGAATTTTGTGAAAAGGATCAAAATGTCAGAAGTGAAAGAGGTTTTGAGAAAGATGGGCCAGAAGAAAACAGTGGGTCTAGATGGCATAACGATAAGGCCTAGAGAAGTTTGGGAGAAAGAGGCATCGAGTGGCTAACACGTTTCTTCAACATGATTTGGAGAAACAACAAAATGTCAGTGAGTTAGCGGAAGAGTACTCTTATTCCCCTATTTAAAAATAAGAGTGATGTACAAGAAGGTGCCAACTATCGAGGGATTAAGCTTATGAGCAACACCATGAAACTTTGGGAGCAACTGGTTGAGCAAAGACTCCGAAAAAAATGTGAAAATTTTGAAAAATCAGTTTGGTTTTATGTCTGGACGCTCAACAACTGAAGTTTTTCACTTTCTTAGACAAGTTGTGGAGAAGTATAGAGACACTAAAAAGGATTTGCATATGATAGGGTACCTCGAGAAGTCCTTTGGTGGGCCTTGACTAGCAAAGTTATATCACGTAAGTATATCAGTATCATCATGGATATGTATGAGGCTTGTACTACAAGTGTATGTACTAGTGGGAGAACTGCGGAGTTCCCTATTACTATCGGAGTGCACCAAGGATAGGCTCTGAGTTCTTTCTTATTTTTTATAGTCATGGATGAACTTACAAAGACAATTTGAGAATATATACCGTGGTGCATGATGTTTGCCGACGATATTGTATTGACTGATGAGACAGATCGGGGGTTAAAGCAAAGTTGGAAGTATGGCGACAAACTTCGGAGATCAAGGAGTTCAGACTGAGTCGAAGTAAGACTGAATATATGAAGTGCAAGTTCGTTGGAGGTAGTACTAAAAACAGTGGGATTACCCTTGATGGCAAGGAGATACCGGTGTGTGATATGTTCCGTTATTTGGGCTGTATAATTCAGAAGGATGGTGAATTAGAAAGAGATGTATTGCATAGAATTAGAGCAGGGTGGATGAAGTGAAAGAGTGCATTTGGAGTTCTATGTGATCGAGGTATGTTGACTAGACTGAAGGGTAAGTTTTATCGGACATCAATTAGGCCTGCACTAATGTATGACATAGAGTGTTGGGCGTTGAAACAATGTCACATTCAAAAGATGAGTGTGGCAGAGATGTGTATGTTACGTTGGATGTGTGGACATACCAGAAAAAGGGTGCTTGAGGAATGACATAATCAGACAAAAGGTGGGAGTGCCACCTATAGAAAATAAGATGCAAGAGTCTCGATTGCGGTGGTTTGATCATGTGCGTAGAAGACCAAGTGATGCACCTGTTAGATGAGTTGAGAGCTAGGGAGAACAAGCGGGTAGGAGGGGGAAGGGAAGACCCAAACAGACTTGGATTAGAGGAATCAGAACTGATATGATTCTTATTGGGTTGGATGAGAGTATGACTTTAAACATAGCAGAGTGGAGGGCGCATATACGTGTGGACGATTGATCTCTTTTCTTCCTTTTCTCTTGCTTTCTTTTTTTTATCTTTTATTTTATTTATCATTCTATGCTCTTATGTTCTTATGATTTTTTATCTTATCCATTTTATCTTACCTTATCCATTTTCTCTTACCTTATCTTTTTATTTTCTTATCTTTTTTCTCTTGTTTGCTCTGATATCATGGATCGATTCATGTTAGCTGACCCCAAAATCATTTGGGAAAAAGGGTTGGATGTTGTTTGTTGTTTGTATGTGTGGTTGAGGTTTGTGTAGAGGAGAGAAAATTAACTAGAACCACAAATTATTTATTTAAAATGGAAAGTCGAAAAGTTAGTGGGATAACGAAAAAAGGAAAGTTGGCAAAGTTATAGGGGACGGAGGGAGTATTTACTTATATTCTGAGAAGAGCTTAGTTGTGCGTGTAAGTTAGAAAACCCATGGACCTTATATACAAGAGAACTGGATATTTGACTACTATTTACGTACACAAAAAAACAGAACTTGAAGGCCATCCCAAAACCATCTGTATTCTCTCTATACATAGCCCAAATTAGGCTAAAGAAAATAGCAAAGAATAATGTGCCTGCTTATTTAGCCAATCAAGGAGATACCAAAGATATGCTAGTAGGGCTACACACAACTAAAGCTAACGTTATACTCCACCCGTCCCCAAAAAGAGTGATGTTTCAAAAATCTTTTTTAAAAGTCATCTTTCATTTCAAGTAAAATTCATGAAGAGCCCGCCAGACAAGTGGTTTTAGTATATTCCTCTATACAACCTTGGAAAAAGTTTTAGAGGTATAGACGACCACTCATTAACTTATAAAAGTGTATACCATGATCAAGTTGACAAAATAATAAGTTGTACATTTTAATCAAACAAGACTCTTTTGGGAAGGATGGAGTAAGAAATAAGCTTTTTACAATCAGCATGTGCAAGTACAAGTATAGATGCATGCTTCAAGAATGGTTAAAGATAAATAATGTAGATCAGAATGTTTCTAATATAAGGCAATGATAAGAAAATTAAAAGCATACCAATCAATCAGGTTCTCTGCTTCGGAGCTCATCTCATCAGGAATCCGGGGCCAGGGTATCTTACGATTGAGAATGTTTTCAAATATTTTCTGGAATGAGCAGTCAAGTAATAGAAAAATGAAACTCAGCAAGTCATCAAATGAGGTGGACTGGAAAAAATGCTTTCACATAAAATTGGACATTGGAACAAAGTTGTTAAGTATCTAGCTAATTACAGAGAAGTTGCAAGGAAGAAAATAGGAATAAATATGAACAGTAGGTAAGAGCAGGTATTTCGATTAAAGAAATGAGAGAGAAAGTATCTTGACAGTTAAAGAGATGTCAACTCTCTAGTCCCAGCCAACAACCAAATAACAGCCTACCTCCATATTACAGTAGAAGCCTATTCATAATAGTCCATCCGACCTGTTATACATTTCCCAGCTACTTAGTATTCCCCTTTCTTCTAGAGTACACTTTATTTTGATATTATGATAAAGTGTAGGGCTTTTTCCTTGAATATTACTTAGTTAAAGTCAATTTCCAAAAAAGTGACCATTTTTATAAAAAGACAAAAATGTACCTAAGAAGGTCACATATTTGGAAAAACATGATGTCACTGTCATTTTTATGTCACGATTTTTTATGTTACTGTTATATGTCACTACCAGATTTTTATGTCACTTTTGAAATGTCACTACCGTTTTTCACGTCACTCTCAGATGTCGCTTTACCGGAAAACGTGACACTGTGTCGCCGGAAAATTTTCCAGGGACTTTTCTCAATCAAAATTTTCGCCAGAAACCAACACCCTGCCGCCTCGACACCACACCATCACCGTGAGACCGCCTACGGTCCCCTACCCCACCGTTGAACCATAGACGTCATCAATCTCCGAACCAAGCCGCCGCCATCGTCGAACCGTAGCCACCGCTATCTCCGAACAGTAGATGTAGCCTTCGCAACGAGACGCGACGGAGAAGAAAGGAGAGGCAGATCTGGAAGAGAAACAATTGCTACCTTCGACAGAGCAACCAAGAGCGGCGTCGACGCGCTGGTGGCCGGAGACGACGAAGTATGGCTATCTGGTGGAGCAGGAAGATGTGGGAATGGAAGAGGCAGATCAAGTGGAAGCGCAGATTTGGGAGATGAACTATGCGCAGGGACGGGAGACTTACGGGAAAAGGCTAAAATTTTACTCTCTTTTTTGTCCATCTCAATTTTGGTCATATTTTTGTCCAAGGAAAGCTGTGGAGTAATATCCTTGCCATTCTTTCTTATTATTAATGGACTGGCTTCCTGTGACTCTAACATCACCCCCTGGAACTACCACCTTGTCCTCAAGGTGGAAGTCACAAAATTGCCTCTGAAATTGCTGCGGCTCCTCCCAAGAGTCTTCAAAATCTGGCATATTCTTCCAATGCACCAAAACTTCAGTTTTCCCAATTGAGTTCATTCTGTTATCTTTTACTTTTTCTGCCCAGACTTGCAATTCCCATTCTTCTGAGAGGGGCATTTAGGTAGAGGTTGTGTTTGAGTAGCAGTAGATACTGTTTTCTTCAACAGTGATTGATTTTCTCAATGACTTCCAAAGGCCCATAAAATCTAGGGCTCAACTTCTGATTAGTTCTTCTGGCTAGAGTCTTTAATTTGTAGGGCTGAATCTTCAAATATACCCTTTCCCCTTCATTAAGCGGAATCTCCCTCCTCTTCTTATCAGCTTGTTGTTTCATTCGGTTCTGTGCAATAGCCAAATTACTTCTCAGTTCATCTATGATTTCATTCCTTTCAGTTGTCAATCTATCCACCTCCTCCACTGTTGTTAAGGTGACACCTCCTCTGATTAAAACAGGTGGGTCCTGTCCATAGAGTGCTGTTAGGGACCTGAACACTACCAAGAATTAGAGCCTTATTAAGTCATTTTAGTTTTGTTCAATAATAGGGTTTAGGCCCTATAACTTATTAGAAGTGGGCTGGCCCATTAGAAATAGAATAAATAAGGGTGAGTGGGGATTAGATGGGGGGCAGAACTTGGGATCAGGACTGGGATATTGGGAGTGAGAGACCACTCGAAGAGTCTCAAACCTTTCCTTTCGTGACTTTCTGTATTCCTTCACTAAATTTTCATTAATAAACTACTACTTTCTTCTTGGATTCTTCCGTTACTTATCATTGGTATCAAAGCCATTGACAAAAGCCTTACCTGCGCATGGTCTTGACCCGATCGAGAATGGAGCAACGTGTGGAAAATCTGGAAAACACCCTAGCGGAAGTGAGAACTGCCGTGAATGAACTGCTTGGCTTGCGTGAGACCGTGGCCGAATTGAAGAATATCATGTTACAGGGTGACCGCCATAAGAGAAGAGGACGATCAACCACAAACCGTCGTCGCCATACTTCAGCAAGCGTGAGCTCCTCTAGTTCTGAAGATAAATCTCATGAAACTCACTCAGTTTCACGCAGCCCTTATCAGAAGAGAATCAGCGACCGTGTATATACTGGAAGAAAGGTCGATTTACCACTTTTTAGTGGAGACGATGCTTATGGATGGCTGATTAGGGTTGAGCGCTATTTCAAACTCAACCATGTGGCAGAAGAGGATAAAGTAGAAATAATCTTGATAGCCATGGCCGGAAAAGCTCTGAACTGGTACCAATGGTGGGATGAACAGACTGATGACCATTCTTGGGTTAACTTCAAAGATGCTTTGTTCCGGCGTTTTCAACCTGCCTTAGTGCAGAATCTGTTTGGTCCTATGCTCAGTATTAGGCAAACTGGTTCTGTAATGGAATACCGGGATCACTTTGAAATGGTTGTAGCTCCTCTCAAACTTGCTGACCAAGGGATGTTAAAAGGAGTGTTTCTCAATGGCCTTAAAAAAGAAATTAGCACGGAACTGAAGTTGCACCAGACCAGTGGGTTAACTGAACTGATGGACAAGGCTTTGTTGTTGGAGCAGAAGAATAAGGTGTGGACAGGGAAAAAAAATAAAGAAGAAGACAACATAGGTTGGAAGGAACAGGGAGGAAAAATGGTTAGACCCTGGAACTGGGTAGACGCAACAAAGGGAAGAACACCTGCGTTAAATCCGGAGAGAACACTTTCAGAGAACAAACTGGAGGAATCGCCAAAACCGAGTAAGACATGGGAAGGTGGCCAAAGGTTGACACAAGCAGACTTAGAAGAAAGAAGCAAGAAGGGCTTATGCTTCAAATGTGGAAACAAATGGGGCAAAGAGCATGTTTGTGGAATGAAACATTATCAATTGATCTTGAGGGAAGAGCCAGAAGAAGAGAAGGGCACAGTAGATCAATTTTATGAGCGGGATGGAGCTGAAAACTTGTTGGAACCTAATGCAAAATCAGTCTCTTATCATCCACCTTGAGGACAAGGTGGAAGTTAAAGGGGGGAGTGATGTTAGGGACCTGAACACTACCAAGAATTAGAGCCTTATTAAGTCATTTTAGTTTTGTTCAATAATAGGGTTTAGGCCCTATAACTTATTAGAAGTGGGCTGGCCCATTAGAAATAGAATAAATAAGGGTGAGTGGGGATTAGATGGGGGGCAGAACTTGGGATCAGGACTGGGATATTGGGAGTGAGAGACCACTCGAAGAGTCTCAAACCTTTCCTTTCGTGACTTTCTGTATTCCTTCACTAAATTTTCATTAATAAACTACTACTTTCTTCTTGGATTCTTCCGTTACTTATCAAGTGCTTTGTAGGGACTGTTTTTAGTTGACACATGGTAGTTGGTGTTGTACCAAAACTCAGCCCAAGGTAGGCACTTGGGCCACTGCTTTGGTTTCATCCCAGTTATCTGAGGTAAGTTTCCACACATTTGTTAACTATCTCAGTCTGACCATCTGTCTGGGGATGGTATGCAGTGCTATATTTGAGCTTGGTTCAAGTTAACCTGAATATTTCAGTCCAAAAAAAGCTTAGGAAGACACTATCCCTATCAGAAACTATGGTTTTAGGAAAATCAAGCAATCTAACCACTTGTAGGAATATTTCAGCCACACCTTTAGCATTATAGGGATGGGATAATGCTATAAAGTGTGCATAGACTGCATACTTTGTCAACCTGTCCACCACCACTAGAATTGTGTCTTTCCCCATAGCTTTTAGCAACCCTCCAATAAAATCCATGCTTACATCAGTCAAAATTTGGTTAGGTATGGGTAGGGGTTGCAGTAATCCTGCTGGACTTGCTGTTTGATGCTTGTTCCTCTGGCACACTTCACAATTTTGAACATAACTCTGAATATCTTTCCTCATCCCTTCCAAATAGAATAGATTTGAGATCCTTTTCATAGTTTTGAAGCTTCCAGCATGTCCTCCATGTCCTCCCACTGCTGACTCATGAAATTCTTTTAGAATAGAAACTTTTCTATTAGAATTTCTGGGGATTACCAATCTGCTCTTGTAATACAGTAATCCCTTCTGGACATTGAAATCTGGTAATGATTCAGGCTGCCCCCAGAGTGTTTTTATGATTTCTTTGTACTTCACATCCTCCAATAGCTCATTTTCCAATCCTTCCCATTCTTGACAGGTTATGACTGAGAGAGTAGAATCCCCCTTTTCTTGAAAGAGCATCTGCAGCTTTGTTCTCTTTTCCAGGTTTATATTTAATGATGAAATTGAATCCCAAGAGTTTAGTGACCCATTTCTGCTGATCCTCCCCCAATAATCTCTTATCTGTCAAAAACCTCAGGCTCTTTTGATCTGTATGCACCTCAAATCCTCTTCCCAACAAATAAGATCTCCATTTCTGTATAGCCAACACAATGGCCATTAATTCTCTCTCATAGATAGATTTATTTTGGTTTCTAGGAGATAAAGTTTTACTCATGTAAGCTATTGGTCTTCCTTCCTGCATCAAAACAGCTCATACCCCCTTTCTAGAAGCACCAGCTTCTAAAATAAAAGTTTTATTGAAATCTGGAATTTGTAGTACTGGCATCCTGATCATGGCTTTCTTTAACTCCTCAAAAGCATTCATGGCTATTGGTGTCCACTGGAATCCATCTTTCTTCAATAAATTGTTGAGGGGTGCTGCTATTCTTCCATACCCCTTAACAAATCTTCTGTAATAGCATGTGAG